GGCCGAGTATAGCCCGGCCCGTGATGAGAGGGCCCATGGCTAAAACTCTATAAATATCGCTCAAATCCATTCCCTAACCTGATGATGCATAATTTGACTCATATACGGATCTAGAGAGGAATTTGTTCTCGCGAGTGGCAATCTCATTAGGCTAGTGTTCCGACAAAGGGTATAGTGGAGAAGCACTTGAGTTCGTGTTCGGAAACCGTCGCCAATTTCACGTCAAGTTCAATGGATTCCAAATCAGGTGCGCGAATTGATAACTTCTCCATTTACGTATTTCTGTTTCTGATTATGGTGTTCTTGGGTGTTCCATTTTCGTGGCCGACACTTGGGGCGTTGCACCTTACGCCGCCGTCGATAAATAACCATGCATGTAATTTTGAGCAAAGTGCGGTTCGGGTCAGAGATTGGAATGAATTTATTCGGGAGATGAAGAGGGCTGCATGGAAGCGTATGATTTACCTGGCAACGATGTTGGAGATGCTAGGAAAATCACTAATGTGGTGATTGTTGGGAAAATCCCCTATGATGTTTTGAAGATGACAAAGACAATCGAAGTCTACTAATATGTGTGTTGGTTAAGTAGTACCAAGTAATATATGTACAAGCCGAGATGCAAATGTTTGTCATAAATAGCACCAAAACATTCTTATATGAGGAGTGCTCTACCACTGTCAAGATGCTTTGTCGATATCTAAGGTGAACAAGACATTAGGTTATTGAAGATGTCTACAAGCTGGAAGGATCTTCAGATAAGGTGAATATCTGAAAGGACCTTGATCAAGGGTGAACAAGCCAAGAAGAACGAGGATGTTCGTGATGGCTTGAAAGTACAAAAATCGGATGACTGGTTGGATGGACCTGATAATGGTGAACAAGCCTATAATGAGGATGTTTGGTCAAGCTTGGAAGGACCATGAAGATGAACAACTTGATAGAGTCAAAATTGCCGATATGCTTGGATGGACCAGAAATATCAAAATCAATAGCGGGTGAGAGTAGCTATCTCATACAGATGAGGTGAAGATTGTAATGATATTTAAGGACTATGTGATATCCATGGTGTGATTCATTGGGAGAAGATCGCAAGATGTCTGGTGTACGTTTACCAGCAAACAGCACCAACAGACCTAAAGATTAGCTAACTGATGATGTTTATACCGAGGCTGAGACATCGTGTCATTAGTGGTGTTTGAATATCCATGTGAGGATGTTCGAGATTATAGCTGTTACAAAGGCTTTGAATTCGGAGAAAGATCACTAGAGTTAATCAGGAGCAGCTGTGGCATTTAAGAGCAAGTCTGACAAAAGTACACTGACATTGTTCTGGAACAGCCACTGTCAGAGAGCCGTTCTAACGATCTTTAGCAACGGTCTGTTGCTGGCAACGGCTAGAACCAATGGCTACTTGAGGATTTCGATGGGCAACGATCATATGAAGATGGCTGGCTATATATTAAGTCCAAGAGAAGTAATTAGGTTGGGTGGAACCGAACAGGATGAGTCTTGTGCTTTGAGTCTTCTTCTTTGCTCTGTTTTTGTTGTTAACTACTATTTCCTAATCTCAATATTTGTGTGATGCTATTGTTTGTAATCAGTGATAAGAGGAAGTGTAAAAGATGCAATAGCAGTACATGAGTCCTGATAGTGTGATCTATTGGAAATGCGGTACTTGCTGATTGTAATTTCTCTTGAAGATTACTAGTGGATTCCAGCCTTGTTGTGGCTGTTAGTTTCGAGAAATGTAGGTTTGGGGATAAAGCCGAACCACTATATATTTGCTTGCAAATCTTCTATTTCTTCAGTATTAGCATTACTTGATCTTTATCATCACGATTTATCAAATAACAGCACGTATCTGATTTCTACAAAATGCTTCTGCCAATATTTTAACTTGAACTTGTTATATTTCGCAAATGTTTTTCATAGTTCTCAAACAACCTATTCACCCCTTCTCTAGGTTGTATTGTTAGCCCCAACAGGAGAATGTGTCGGCGGCAAGAGCAAAGCGAAGCTTGGCTCCCGCCACCGATCTGGGCGAGGGCCAAGTGGCCTTGCCTGTGATCGGCGACCTTTGCCGGCCATCGCAACTAAGGGAAAAGGATTAACACTAGAAAGATAGAATAAGGAAAATTTTAAAAAGAAGAAGATAAATTTCAGATTGTTTAAAAAAAATTACAAAACAAGATCGTTTCATTTAAGATCGTCAACATTAGCCGCCAGTCATGTCACGTAGGACAACCGACGCTAATTGGACCATCACGTGATATCCAACCTAAATTGGCAGGATGGACTACATTGGAAGATGGTCAAAAGGTTTAGGATTAAATTGGGCAAATTGAAAGGTATACTTTTCTAAACAATTTTCCCAGTTTCTCGATTAAAAAAAAAAAAGATCCAAAGTTAAGATTGTGACATGCAAGAATAGTGTTGTAAGGTTAAATTCCTGTCTAAGCTTGGTCCATGATACTTAATGATTTGAATGCTTGATTCCAATGGATACTAGATGAGATTCGCATATCTGACTATTTAGATTACTCGGTCGATAACATAGTGAGAAATTGACATTTTTGACAACTCAAATCATTCGATCCACAGTGAATTGAGTCTAGGCAACAATTTATTTACTTCAAGGCTTTTTATCTCCCTTCTTTGTTTGTTCTCCCGTTTCCTTTGGGGGCAATAACATTATCTACTTTGGACCTTTTGCACGGTCCTCTAAGTTCATTTAGATCTAGAACTTTTTGAAATTATTCATGGTCGTTCCCCATTATATAGAACTACATAGCGTGTGGCTTTTGCTATTGTAGAATGCCAACTCATTAAATTACCGAACCAATACGATACATCGGAAACACCAAATGCGCATTGAATAAAAAAAAACCTCAAATGCACCTTTGTTCCATTTAAATCACGAGCGATGATAAGTAACTTTATCTTTGCATTCTTTAAATTTTAACATTTATAGCAGGTATGAGATAATTATAATAGCGTCTTGAGATGTAGCCGCCGCTAGTTTCCCAACCCCACCTTTTCTTCCCAGCAGGGGATAAAAAAAGGTAGGCGGTGCAAAGAGCAAAGAAATTAGAAAGTCCATCCTTTGAAATATGGGCATATATGCCTTACTAATCTTCATTAATTACAAATTAACATCTCAAATCAAATTCTCCTCCTTCCTCGTTCTCTTTCTCTACCGCATCCCTTCCAGCTCCTTCCCCCCCGGATGGCCAATAGCAATTGATATAGATGCGTAATGAGGATTTTGAAAATATGAATGTATTTTTTTTTTTGTTAATACCACGAAAATTTCCAAACTTATACACTTGTGACAAATTTACTCCAAACTAATTTTTTGACCACCAAAAATCTCACACTGGTGCATCTATGACAAATTTAACTTTCGTAAGTTTTCTTTAAATTTTACCATCAAATTGCTCCAATTGGATGACACGTGGTAGTTGACGGATATACCAGTTTAGGGTTTTGCCCTCCATTTATCACAAGTGTACCAGTCTGTGATTTTCCGTTATATTAATCCAATTTAATAGAAATTAATTAAGGGAAAATTTGTCACTAATGTATATAATTTGAAGTTTTTTATGGTCAAAAAGTTAATTTTTGATAATTTGGCATAAGTATATCAGTTTAGAATTTTTTATATAATATTAATTCTTTCTTTTTAATGTAATAGCTACCTGGATTTAGGGAAATCAAGCACAAATATCTCATTAATGATATCAAATGATGATTCTATGACCGATCAAAAAGATAAGCGCAGAGGATGACGCAAGTCCTGTCCATGATGACGCGGTCGTCGTTGTACGGCCAATTTTGGGAGAGGCTCTTGAACGCGCACACGAGCGGCTGACTACTAATTGGACTTTCTCCTGTGGGCCCACGTGGGGCCAATTTGAACAACCTTTGTCTAATACCCATATCGCGGTATCAGCGAAATCATATTAAATCTTAGTCTTCGACACAATCGCTTATCACTCACGACGTGGCACTCGGAAACGTGCAAGCCCCCAACTTTAGGTCACATAGAAAACGGGTTAATTCTAAAAAAATAACATCAATTTTACTTTGAGTGATAATTCAAACAAATAACTTTCACTTAAAATGAAAGATGACCAACGACTATTTACAGATATGATACTTTTATCATTTCCTATCTACGGAAGGCCTAACCAAAGTATATTTTCTACTATATTTAATTAACTTTCTTAACTTTTGAGGTCAAGATTTACCCCATTAGCAGTCTATTGTTTTGCATAAACGACATAAAAGGTCACAGTCCAACTCATTCCGTCCCCGAATTAGTTTGTCTCAAAGGAAACTCCGCACAAGCTCTGATCAATTTACCCCTGTTAATTACTCGATTTTATTGCAAAATAGTGGACTGTCGTGACATGAAGAGATTAATTAAGGTGGTGTGCCCAGACATGCAACCTTTGGTCAGATGGAAAGAAAAAGGAAAGACCGGTCACGGTCAAGGCAGACCAAGTTGTAAAGTAGAAGGAGCGAAACTGCTTCCTGGAGACCGAAGAATTCAGGTCAACATCAACAGCAATTGCCGGAATTCATAAACAACGAAAAACCCTAAACTGATACATTTATGATAAATTTATCATAAATTAATTTTTTGTCCACCAAAAACTTTAAACTGGTACACATATGATAAATTTACTCTCTGTTAGTTTCCGTTAAATTTTGCCAGCAATTTGTTGAGTCGAATGACACCACCCGTCTGTTTGTCACAGATTTATCAATTGGTTGTTTTTCGTGATTTAATTCAATTTAACGAAAGGGTAAATTCGTTACAAGTGTACCAGTTTAGGATTTTTGGTAATCAAAAAATTAATTTGGGGTAAATTTGTCACAGGTGTATCAATTTGGGATTTTTGGTGGTCAAAAAATTAGTTCGAGGTAAATTTATCGCAAGTTTACCAATTTAGGGTTTTTTGTAGTATTAACCTCCAAAATATGAACCCCTAAAATTTTGTTATATATAAGAGTTTTGTTTCAGCTTCAAAGCACCCCAAACACAAAATTAAACAAAAAATGCACCTTAAAACAGCAAAATCCTAGCTCAGCTTGGGTTTACCTCAACCTGGCCTCAAATACGGAGAAGCTCTTCCAAAATGGTTTCCTACGAACCCATTTCGGAAACTGTATCGTGGTATTTAACATTGGAAACCCGAGATATATTGCAACAATTTATTGAAACGAGATAACTTTAGCATCCTAGAAATCTTCGTCTGTATGTATACTAATGCTTAAACATGCACTCAACTACCCACGTTTACCCTACATGTCGCCTTGCGACTTCAATAGTTCCTCCAACAACATATCGTCCAGATACTCGAACTCGATCACATCTCTGGACGGCTCGGCGGGAGCTGACATAGTAGATGACGATGAACCTGGTGAAGAGGATGACGGCGGCGGCAACGGCGGCGGCGGCGGCAACAAGGATGTGGAGAAAGAACTGTGGTGGCCGGAGACATTGTGGAAATTCTGAGCGTAGTGTTGTTGCTCGTTGGGGAAGTTGAGGATGGCCATATGGCCCCGGAAGGCAAAGGCAGCCCGGTCGTAGGCACGGGCGGCCTCCTCCGCCGTCTCAAACGTCCCGAGCCAAAGGCGGGCGCCGTTCCTTGAGGGGTCCCGGATCTCGGCGGCAAACTTGCCCCAAGGCCGCCGCCGGATCCCTCGGTACCTGGGTGGATCGGATCGTGACCGCGATCCCGTATTGTTCCCGGTCTCTTCGTTGTTCTCATTGCTCTGATTCCCTCTTGAAGAAGACCCTTCCATGGCCAAGTGAAGACTATGATGATCTCCGTGTAAACTTTTTCGGCAAACTTTGAGGAAATGGATGTCAAATTCGACGGCAACAAACGAATGATGGAGGTTGGCATGTATATATAGGTTTTGGTCACAGATGAGACCGGCGGCGTTGAAAAGTTCAGGGGGGGGGGGAGGTTCGGAGAGAGACGAAACGAATTTGAGTACGTCGAGATACGTGCGCAAGTCAGATACGTGCGCATGCATTTGCATCACTCACGGGATGAGGTAGCAATGTTGAAAGCAATAATCAAAGCATGGATCGGATTTTTTTTTGGATTAATACAATATCAAATCGTAATAGTTGTGATAAATTTACCTCAAGTTAATTTTTTAATCACCAAAAACTCTAAACTGGTACACTCATGACAAATTTACCCTCCGTCCGTTTTCGTTAAATTTTACCATTAAATTTCTAAGTTGAATAACACGTGGCAGTTGATGGGCGTACTAGTTTGAGGTTTTACCCTTCGTTTGTCACAGGTGTAACAATTTATTTTTTTTGTGGTATTAATCTTATTTATGGAGGGTAAAATTGTTATAAATGCACCAGTTTTGGATTTTTAGTGGTCAAAAAATTTGTTTGGGGTAAATTTATCATAAGTGTACCAATTTTTGGTTTTTATTAGTCAAAAATTAATTTGGGGCAAATTTATCACGGGCGTACAAGTTTACGGTTTTTCGTGATATTAACCCTGTTTTTTTTACTTTTTATTTTTAGTTAGACTGGTAATAGTAAATATTAATCTACACTATTGAATTAGGCATACTTTATGCTAGACTCCATGTGAGGCTCGTTAGCATACGTGACAAACAAGTACAATATCGTGGTATCATCGAAATTATATTAAATCTAAGTCTTCGACACAATCGCTTATCACTCACGACGGGGCACTCGGAAACGTGCAAGCCCCCAACTTTAGGTCACATAAAAAACGGGTTAATTCTAAAAAAAACATCAATTTTACTTTGAGTAATAATTCAAACAAATAACTTTCACTTAAAACGAAAGATGACCAACGACTATCTACAGATATGATACTTTTATCATTTCCTATCTACGGAAGGCCTAACCTAAGTATATTTCCTACTATATTTAATTAACTTTCCTAACTTTTGAGGTCAAGATTTACCTCATTAGCAGTCTACTTTTTTGCATAAACGACATAAAAGGTCACAGTCCAACTCATTCCGTCCCCGAATTAGTTTGTCTCAAAGGAGCCTCCGCATAAGCTCTGATCAATTTACCCCTGTTAATTACTCGATTTTATTGCAAAATAGTGGACTGTCGTGACATGGAGAGATTAATTAAGGTGGTGTGCCCGGACATGCAACCTTTGGTTAGATGGAAAGAAAAAGGAAAGACGGGTCACGGTCAAGGCAGACCAAGTTGTAAAGTAGAAGGAGCGAAACTGCTTCCTGAAGACCGAAGAATTCAGGTCAACATCAACAGCAATTGTCGGAATTCATAAACAACGAAAAATCCTAAACTGATACATCTATGATAAATTTACCATAAATTAATTTTTTATCTACTAAAAACTTCAAACTGGTACACATATGACAAATTTACTCTCCGTTAGTTTCCATTAAATTTTGCCAGCAATTTGTTGAGTCAAATGACACCACCCCTCTGTTTGTCATAGATTGATCAATTTGTTATTTTTCGTGGTATTAATTCAATTTAATGAAAGGGTAAATTCGTCACAAGTGTACCAGTTTGGGATTTTTGGTAGTCAAAAAATTAATTTGGGGTAAATTTGTCACAGCTGTACTAATTTGGGATTTTTGGTGGTCAAAAAATTAGTTCGAGGTAAATTTATCGCAAGTTTACCAATTTAGGGTTTTTTGTAGTATTAACCTCCAAAATATGAACCCCTAAAATTTTGTTATATATAAGAGTTTTGTTTCAGCTTCAAAGCACCCCAAACACAAAATTAAACAAAAAATGCACCTTAAAACAGCAAAATCCTAGCTCAGCTTGGGTTTACCTCAACCTGGCCTCAAATACGGAGAAGCTCTTCCAAAATGGTTTCCTACGAACCCATTTCGGAAACTGTGTCGTGGTATTTAACATTGGAAACCCGAGATATATTGCAACAATTTATTGAAACGAGATAACTTTAGCATCCTAGAAATCTTCGTCTGTATGTACACTAATGCTTAAACATGCACTCAACTGCCCACGTTTACCCTACATGTCGCCTTGCGACTTCAATAGTTCCTCCAACAACATATCGTCCAGATACTCGAACTCGATCACATCTCTGGACAGCTCGGCGGGAGCTGACATAGTAGATGACGATGAACCTGGTGAAGAGAATGACGGCGGCGGCAACGGCGGCGGCGGCGGCGGCAACGGCGGCGGCGGCGGCGGCAACAAGGATGTGGAGAAAGAACTGTGGTGGCCGGAGACATTGTGGAAATTCTGAGCGTAGTGTTGTTGCACGTTGGGGAAGTTGAGGATGGCCATATGGCCCCGGAAGGCAAAGGCAGCCCGGTCGTAGGCACGGGCGGCCTCCTCCGCCGTCTCAAACGTCACTACAAAAAAACACCGGATTAGCAACGAAATTTGCGACGGAAAATTTGGAAAAATCCGTCGCAAATCGAATTTGCGACGAATTTTGCGACGGAAAAAATTCCGTCGCTACTAGGTCGTCGCAAAATTTTGCGACGGAAAATTTAAAAGTTCGTCGCAAATTAGCCACGAATACAATTCGTCGCAAATTTGCGACAAACTCTATCCGTCGCAAAATTCATCGCAAATTCGTCGCAAATTTCGTCGCAAATTCGTCGCAAATTCGTCGCAAAAATTCGTCGCAAAGTCGTCGCAAAATTCGTCGCAAATTTCATCGCAAAATCGTCGCAAAATTCGTCGCAAAATTCGTCGCAAATTTCATCGCAAATTTCATCGCAAATTTCGTCGCAAAATTAGCGACGAATACAATCCGTCGCAAAATTCGTCGCAAATATTTCGTCGCAAATTTGCGACGAACTGTCGCAAAATTCGTCGCAAATTACATCGCAAATTTCGTCGCAATTTCGTCGCAAAATTCGTCGCAAAGTTTGTCGCAAAAATTCGTTGAAAAATGTACTCGTCGCAAATTAGCGACGAACTGTAATGATCACAAAATTCGGCTTAAAATATTCGTCGCTATGTTTACATCATTTCGGCCATAAATTCTTGTCCATGTCAAACAAAGGAGACAATGACATATAATTGAAACAGAAAAACGAACAAACCATAAATTCTGACAAACAAGCCACAATGACATATAATTGAAACAAATAACTGAAGGAAAGTTACAGAGTCTGACATGATGCTATTGGATATTCAATCTTACAATACATTCAAAACATGAACTAAGAGACGGGACAACCATAGAAGACGCAGAAAAACCATACACAAGAAGACGCAGCTTTGGTACGATGGCAGGACACCAAAAGTAGTCACTTTTGTCGAGACCGGAGGAAATGTCGATACATAAATCAGTCCAGAATATAAAAGAAGCGTTTATGCATGGATGTGGAACTAGGTGTAAAATAACAAGAGGGTTAACAAAAATACGTTTCAGGACGAACATAAATGTTCTTACTTATGAATATGAGTGAAATTATGAAAAACCAAGATTATGAAGCAAGCTTACCCCCGATTTTGAGAATTTTAACTAGAAAGACTGGAGAAAATCATTATCATCATCATCATCAGCATTCTCGGCATCAATGTGTTGGTCATCATTGTGCCCATCACCTACTGGATTGGCTGGAGGTACAGGAGGATCGTCATAGCAATTGAGGTTAAGGTGTTACATAACGAGTCTCATTTGTTGTTCTAAGTTATTTATTTGTTCGTCCTTCTGAACAAGTAAATTATTCAGACGATGCACTCTTGGGTCAATTGCTCGTCTTGTCGTGGCCTCCTTCGACCAGTCGCAGTGGATGATGAACTTTCAGGATTATTCGGCATGTACATCCTTGACAACGATCCCATCCCAAATATTTTCCCTTTTTTAACCCCACCCGTTGCCTCCATCCATAATGCCATATTATCAACTGGTGGCCCAGACTCAGGACAATCATCACTACCACTAGCACTGCTCATTAAAAGTTCATCATATTTTTCCTACATTAACAATGTAGATGAAAATAAAATCACTATATATATATATATATACATATATCTACCATAAATATTGAAAGCATTCACGGTTTTCATTATAGTTTACATATAAGCCAAAGTATAACCTTACATACCTTAACAGCTTTTGCTCGATCGCCAGTCCATGTCTTATCTTTCTTTTGAAATGTGCGTTCAAATGTAGCTGCAAATGTGGGTTCCGTCCCCAATTCTTGTGCCTACAAAATGTAAACATGAGTAATTGAATTAAATTAACTTATAACTCATTTAACAGACTTACCAGTCGTTTGCGATGCTCCGCAATGTTGATAGAACCCCCAGCATATGTGGCCGACCCATCACTAGAGCTAGAAGATCGATTCTTCTTATTCTGCTCACAGAGTTGCCGACTCTGTTCAGATGCCCAAAATCTGTTAATTGCCGCCCAATTGTCAGCTGTAAAGAAAGACGGCTTCACTTGCTTGATCTTCGCTCTATTCATGACATTTCGCATAAAATCACTGTTTTTCTTATCGAAAATTCTTCTCACTTCATTGTCTTCCGCTTTCTCCCACTTGAACTTCCGCTGCAATGAATAAAAACACAAATTGAAAGTTATTATGATGATCACATATCCATAACCATGCACCAGACAAATATAGACAGATTTTGTAAAGTTCATGTTGGGGAAAATATCTGGTCCTTTAGGTATCGAAAACTACAGAGTTGTTCTGGTCCCTTTACATCATTCTTGACCATCAATATACTACACCAAACTTAATTAGTGAGAAAATAAAATATGTAAAACTTACCTTGAACTCATTCCACCACATTTCTTTCACTTCTTGTGGAACACTTCTGTAATTAATATACTCTCCCATCCAAAA